TCTAATGCCCAAAAATGTAAATTAACTTAATGAGTCTAATAAATTCCGGAAAACAAATACACCCAATATTTATTGGAATACTTATTATTATAGTTCTTAAATGGAATTTCCTTTTTTGAATTCTACCCCATGATTGTGTGCATATTTTTACTACTTGATAAAAAATATCACTTATTTTAACATCATATAAAGCCCATTATATTGTGCAAGTACATACATGTCGATAATTCGCTCATTTGTGGATACTCGACGGAAGCAATTTTTTTCGTTATTTGTATCGGTATAATTTTCATACTGATACGATTGGTTTAGAATAGTTATAATACATTCTTTATCTACATGATCGCACTTTGACCATTTCCATACACATTTTTTCTAAGTGCTGAAGAAAACTTTTGATTCATAAATTTGGTTATAGTTATCGTGATGGAATTGAAAAGGATGCTGAAATTGGTAATACTGTTGCTGATAAAACATATAATGTTGGCTATTGTTTTTTTCATGGACTTGGTGTTGAAAAAGAAGATTACAAAGCATTCATTTTTTTCATAGAACTGATGATATGGTACTCGCTAAGGGAACATTTGGGATTGGTTATTGTTATCGTGATGGAATTGGTGTTGAAAAGAAGGCATTCATTTATTATCAAAAATCTGCTGAGTTGTGGAACATATATGATTGGTTATTGTTATCATCGTGGAATTTGGGCTGAAAAGGATGAATACAAGGCATTCATTTATTATAAAAAATCTGCAGATATGGGTCATGCCAACGGAACAATTAAAGTTGGTTATTGTTATTATAAAGGAGTTGGAGTTGGAAAAGATGAATCTAAGGCATTCATTTACCATCAAAAGTCTGCCGATATGGGTGATGCTGAAGGAACATATATGATTGGTTATTATTATTATAATGGAATTGGAGTTGAAAAAAATGAACATAATGCATTCTTTTATTATCAAAAATCTGCTGATATGGACCATGTTGATGGAATATTCATGGTTGGCAATTGTTATCGTCGTGGAATCGGGGTTGAAAAGGATGAGCATAAAGCATTCATTTATTATCAAAAATCTGCAGAGATGGATGACGCTAGTGGAATAAATAGTGTTGGATATTGTTATGAAAATGGAATTGGTGTTGAAAAGGATGAATCTAAGGCATTCATTTACCATAAAAAGTCTGCCGATATGGATGATGCTGAAGGAACATATATGATTGGTTATTATTATTATAATGGAATTGGAGTTGAAAAAAATGAGCATAAAGCATTCTTTTATTATCAAAAATCTGCTAAGATGGGTCATATCGATGGAACATTTATGATTGGTGATTGTTATTATCATGGAATTGGAGCAAAAAAAAATGAACACAAGGCATTCAATTATTATCAAAAATCTGCAGATATGGGTCATGCCAATGGAACCTTTATGATTGGTTATTATTATGATAAAGGAATTGGGGCAAAAAAAAATGAACGCAAGGCATTCAATTATTATCAAAAATCTGCTAAGATGGGTCATGTCGATGGAACGTTTATGATTGGTAATTGTTATTATCATGGAATTGGAGCTAAAAAAAATGAACATAAGGCATTCAATTATTATAAAAAATCTGCTGAGATGGGTCATGCCGATGGAAACTATATGGTTGCTTATTATTATGATGAAGGAATTGGAGTCGCAAAAGATGAATACAAGGCATTCGATTATTATAAAAAATCTGTAGATATGGGTCATTCCTACGGAACATTTAATGTTGGTTATTGTTACTATAAAGGAGTTGGAGTTGAAAAGGATGAATCTAAGGCATTCATTTACCATCAAAAGTCTGCCGATATGGGTGATGCTGAAGGAACATATATGATTGGTTATTATTATTATAATGGAATTGGAGTTGAAAAAAATGAACATAAAGCATTCTTTTATTATCAAAAATCTACCGATATGGGTAATGTTGATGGAATATTCATGGTTGGTAATTGTTATCATCGTGGAATTGGAGTTGAAAAGGATGAATATAAAGCATTTATTTACTATCAAAAATCTGCAAAGATGGGTGACGCTGGTGGAACAAATAGTGTTGGATATTGTTATGAAAATGGAATTGGAGTTGAAAAGGATGAACATAAAGCATTAAGTTATTATCAAAAATCAGCCAACATGGGTTACGTTCTTGCGATGTTTCATGTCGGTAATTGCTATCGAAATGGAATTGGGATAAGAAGGGATTTGCAAAAGGCTAATTATTGGCTACAAAAGTAAGTGTGCTACCGTAATTATGTTATTATTATTATTGTTGTTGTTGTTGTTTACAATTTTTAATAATTAGGGAAAAGGATCAATGGTCAGGTAATTCCAGTCATAATTTAATTTATATTAATTAAATTATTTATTGTATTAAATTAATATGTAATTTGAATTTTTAGTTATAAATAAAGGTATACGAGAATATTCTGATGAAATCGATAAAATCGATAATGATTTAAAAAAAATAATTAATGAAAGTATATACCAACTATCATGGATTCCTTATAGCGAATTTAAAAATATTAAAAAAATAGGAGAGGGTGGCTTTGCAACTGTATACTATGCAGAATGGTCTGATCAAAATCGAAATACTACGGTTGATGTTGCATTGAAATTCTTATCAAAAGATTACTACAAGGAATTTATATCAGAGGTATTTATTTTAATGATTTCAAATGGTTTTATATAAATTTTATAACTAATTGTTTTTCAATATTAAAGTTAAAAGCATTTTGTGATATTAGTCACGGAAATCCGTCATTTTTAAAATGCTATGGAATATCCAAATCTGATTTCTCTGAAGATTATATTCTAGTTATAAAATATGCTTCAAATGGCTCCTTGCGCGAAAATCTTCATGATATAGCACAGATGAAATGGGAAGATAAATTAACACTTTTGCTTTGTATTGTTACGGACCTTAAGGCAATTCATTCAAAAAATATAATACATCGAGATCTACATAGTGGTAATATTTTGCAAGATAATTTACATAGTGCATATATTGTAGATTTGGGGCTTTCTATATCATCTAAAATAGCATTAGAAGCTGAATCTAAAAGCATTTGTGGAAATTTACCATATATTGCACCGGAAATTTTAAATAGAAAGCAATATACTACAGCCTCTGATATTTATTCATTCGGAATAATAATGTGGCAAATTTTGTATGGTCAAAAAATTCGTTATAAATTTGAAACATGTAATAATGACTTACGACCAGTTATTATCAAAAATTCACCACAGTGCTATGTAGATCTCATGAAAAAGTGTTGGGATAAAGATCCAGAAAAACGTCCCACAGCAGAAAACATTCATGAAACTTTTAAGAAATGGTATAAAAATAAAAAGTTTTTATTAGAATTATCAGGGTCGGAAAAAATGTTATATGATTTTGAAAATATAAATGCGTCAATACATACTAAAAATGCAGCTTCATTCTATGGTAAATATTCAATTTTAATAATAAATAAATTCACTGCACTAGAAGCTAATCAATTTGTCTTATAGACAGTGGGCTGAACCAACTATTTATTGAAGACCGTCAAGAAATTTTACATAATAATAGCTTTTATTCACATAAACAATTAGAAAGATGTAAATCAGAATTTCTGAGATGCTAACTGTTGAAGAAATCGAAGATATTTAAGCAAAAAAATGTAAATTAATGAATTGGAAATTCAAAAATAATCTTAAACTTATCTTTGAAAAGTTAACAGTTATATGAGAAAACTGATAAGTACTGTATCATTTGATTTTTACAGCAATAGTTAGTAATGCGTAATTTTTGTCTCATATTTGTAGATATTGTTATTTATTTTTATTTTGTTAATTTTATTATTTATCTTTATATTTTTCTTTAATTACATTTTAACAATACTTGTCTAATATTATATTGAGTGATTATTGGAATAATTTATATTCAATAAAAAAAAAAACAGTGAAAGGATTTGATACTATTAAAACACTATAGCTAACTCCATGCTTATCAATTCTTTATGCTACATTGAAATGCAAATATTTTTATGCTCCCAACTTGCTTTAATAATATCCAAAGTCTTTTTACCAATGTTGCTATATGCAACTGACCTTATTGTGGATTACGATTATAATGACTATGAAAATAGGTACTGTTAGATATCCGGAGCTAAAAATACTATGTATACCGGTTAATATTTGGTAAATTGCAATACCGAAAGTCGTTTTCTGGAATAGCGAAATTAAAAGGGTTTTATAGCTTTGCTAATTTACACATTATATCTTACATCTTTTACGATAACTATTTACTTTTTATGATTTTTACAAATATTGAAAATTTCACATCTTTATTAAACTTTTTAATGATATTAATATATTTAACAAAATTTACATTATTTAAAATTCCACCCAATTTGTAAATAATTGGTATCCATTACAAAATTCATTGTCACTATTGAATTTCCTTTTACGTTATTTAACTACGAATTGTGCAAAACTTTCCCTAATCTAAAACGTTCACTTTAGACAGTCTACTGATTTTTTTTGATGTTATTATATAAATTTTAAACATCACTATTAGTTTCCCATGTAAATCTAATTCTATGCACCAATTTACCAGTTCAACATTGATCGTACGGGATTCTCTGCCTCAGTGATTCATCAAAGGGGGAATTTCACAGGGTCTTCTCTCGACCCACCCGGGTGAATACTCCCGGCCCCTAAAATCACCTTAAGAGTTAGGTTGATCTTTTTTCAAAGAATGTACACATCATTTCGACATTCATTGACTTAGCCTCTTCCTTCTACTTTATTTCATCTGGGTTTAACTCATAAAAGTTGTGCTAACAATAAGAACGTCAGTAACACTCAACCCATACCCGTATATTCTATCCGATCCACTAACACTCAATTCCCTAATGGGATTATGTTAACCACATAAACCATTAAGTTACTCATTGTATTCTGATGATCCCAAACTAATACTTTCACTCAATGAGCAGCTTCCATACTAGCTGTGATTCAACTTTTTCTCCCTTCCAGCATTCTTGGGCATTTCCTCCCAAGGTGTTGGTGTTTACGAGTTTTTCGAGTCAATGAGCACCGAGGTCCCTCCCCCTCCGGTGTTGTGATAGCTTCACTTCGTGTGATTATTGTGCATTTGGAAGCCTGTTCCCTCCGAACTTATCGAAACTACGCCGGGGAGTACAACGGTCACTTCCAATATATGTTATTAGCAAGATGCTTTATTCTCGAAGGATTTGGTTCGTCAATTTCCATCTATTCCGTTCTATACTTTCAAATTATTAATAGATAGGACTTTAAATCCTTACTTGATCGAATTTCTTCTTCCAGTTAAGATTTTCCAAGGTTGGTCGCATTGTGGTCCGGCAGGTCGCAGCCACCGCCTGCGTTGCTTATAGGCTTATTTTGTTCCCAGCGGCTGGATTAGGGCCAGCTCCTTCTTTCTGGGCGTCACACGTTGCTTCCAAGGGTGGTACCTGTAAAGGACAGTAAGTGCCCAGTCTCTCCGCCTCTGTAACGTCTAGGTTTCTTATGGAGATTAAAGTACTCCCATAACCATAATTGGCCCACGAAACAGACTTGGCTACTGGACCTGTTACGTCCCATTAGGAAACTTGGTGAACCTCGTTCCTCTGGTGTTTCAGGAAGTTCTATCTACCTTTTCATAAGATCCCTATAGACTGCTCCTCGTATTCAAGGGATGTAGGGTACGACATAAAATGCTCCCAGCTACATCGGCCCACAGTTACGTATATAATAAGAATAAACATGTTACAAACTTTTGATGGGTCTTAGGTCTCATTTATGCTACTCGCCAACCGCCTAGGTTGTCCCATTTACTCCGATTTACGCAGTAAACTTATGCTTTCATTATACACAGGGATAATTCTAGCCGGAATTTTAACAGCAGCGGTGTTGCACCTTGTTACAAGGATAATAGCACGAGCAACTGTAGCTAAAGTAGCAGAACCCGAAGCCTGGAAAAATGCCATAATACCATTTCAACAGTAATATGGACTTACTCGCCCAGGCACAGCTTTCGCCTTTCATCGACTGTGTCTTTCAGCCAGTGGATAGTATGATCACTCTAATTCCACTACCGGCAGGTAAAGTAATAAATTAATACCTTCCCGTTGGATATGAGTACCTACACTCTACCATTACTAATGACCTTACAGTCTGTGAACCTTCTCCATGTATACCTTTGTAAAATTTGGGAAACAACAAGTAAATAACTCAAGATCCGAATGATTATCGCGTTACCCAATCAGCCACAGATATATAATTGGAACATGTCTTATATTAGATAGCTCATAATAACCATATTTCAGTTCCCACAATTACTAGATCTAGAGATTAGCGGTCATTGTTTATATACATCTCCCCATTTCGGCACCATTAGTTAGTGATACTAATGGCTGGGTACCCCGAGGCTTACCGACATATATAAATAAACTTGAGGTTTTCTCTGAGTGCTTAATTGTAGTGAGTTTTAATATAAAACTCCCCGGGTCCCTAATCCCGCGGTGTGATATGACTAAAATGAACAGCCTAAGATAAAATATGCAGAACAATATATAAATTTGGGTTCACAGTGCTATTGCTGTTTCTGCAAGATTGGTTTTCTCGCTACACATCACCGGCTGCTGATTATAGACTTATTTTTTCTTCCTTCTACATTAGTACCTTACGGAGCTTGGCTGCTAGTTGTCTCTTTGGCTATTACAGCCTCATGTTAAAGGAGGTATTCTTCATACACTTTAACACTCCCTGGAACCTTTTAACCATGACAGGATACTCGTGGCACCTGCTATTAACCCGGTTTCCCGCATTAAGTGGTAGTCCTCGTAGAAAGACGTTCCAGCAATTTGGCCATTATGAAAGCAAAGGTTTATTATAACATAAGAACACAATTTACAATCATAATATGATTACGTACTAAGAGCTTTGGTCTACCCAATTCATCATGCCCGACCAGGTGACCCTTATAACTTAACTAATCGGACCGCCAGGATGTTGAAGTTAGAAAGCTAGCTCCTGGGTACTCTCATACGGCGATAAGTCGCTAGGGTCATACTACGCTCTTGGATTATATTCAAATATTACTGACTCGCGGTGGTGCATTAGCACTTTTTCTCACCCAGTCAGAACTTTGCACAGACGGGAACAGTAACCAATTGTTCCATCTATTTCAATCTTGATCACATGCCTTTTATTTTATCATTAGAAGATTTATTGCCAGTTGATATTTCCATCGCTCCAACGCCAAACTATCGATATCTGTTAACTGTGTAAACCATTGTTTTCCTGATAAACCCATAAAAATATGACTCCAATGATAATACTTGCAACATTTCTATATATATTTCTAGAGCTGTAACATAAGAAATATCATGATTCTAAAGAAGGATTTCGGCATAAAAACATAATATTCTATGAAATTAACACCAATATTCAATCTACATGCGAATTAATTAAAGTTTTGAGTATATTTTCCATTATCAACATGTTGAAATGCTATCAGTTTTGAGTTATGAAAATCTGAAGCTCCAGGAACGATCAGACATTAGATCGTTATCAATAGGTAATTTTCAAAATTTTCGACCAGTTAATATAATGATTCTAAAGTGATGAGTATTGACAATAGTATAGCTATCCCTTTTACTAGTATTATTATCACTATGAAGGTATACGTAATCATATCTGACACGGTGAATGTCCCTAATAATTTTAATCCATTTTATCAGGCAAGATCTTAAAAATTTATATGAGGATTTTCCATCATCGTATATTCAGATCCTACCGTTACTATCTAGCTCGAAGGAGCAAATTATAAGTGGAAAGATGTTAGAAAATAGTAGAGATTAAGTGGAATATATGCGTATGTATTGCAACCTTTAAATAATCATTATAAGAGGTTATTTAATATGATCAGGATGTAAAGGAACAAATAAATAAATAAGATGCTAGATAATAATAATAAGAATAATCCGATAAATAAGAATTTTAAGCGATAAATAAATAAAGTATATAAATCAAGCAAATACTCAATATAAATTAAAATTCGATTCTTATAGTGATCAAAGTATAAGTCGAAGTTTAAAGAGCATTATTACACCAGATACGGTGAATATATACATGATTGTGGGAAAGGATATACGACTGAACAAAAACTTTTAACTATTACTATCTTATTCTAACACTAGTTTAGGCGTCAATTAATCTGCGTGGATTAATTATGAAACAAATCCTTATGATTTATTAGGCATTTATTATGAGAGCAACACATATTGCTTAACATAATATTTTTATTTAGGGGATGAATTAGAGAGCGTACATCCACCTTTTTACTAAGGACGAGAGCACACACTTATATATATATTTATGAATTATACGAAACCTTATTGATCTCATTGAACTCTTAATGTCCATTGTCCTTCAACTTGAGATACGACACACAACACCCGATGTGACTCCATTTCATACAAACAAAGACCACTAAGAGCACTTTTATGTACAAATTACATTGTGACACCACGACGACACAAGGAACACATTATATACATCTGCTATAACCAGTATTTACACACAATCTAACACTAACACTGATTATGACTTATTGTTACATAGCATTATTTCTCGGGTGACACGAGACAAAAAGAGATCGAGGATATAAACGTACGTAAGCTAATCGCATAAACACATGATCACTAGAGACGCACTAGTTGCACAGAGTTATATAGGCTGCGGTATCCCACAACTTTGTTATGAGCGTGACAATGTTATACAAAGTACACATAGTCATTAGCATGATGTTATCATATCTTAGATACGAAAAGGAAAAAAAAAACTGATTTCGAAACATCACTTATAAGTTACGCGATATCGAGGCAATTTTTTTTCCTTAAATGCTGCAATGATGCTTTATTTCCATACTGCAATAATGTATAGTTTTAAAATTACGTCAGTAATTATTAAAAATTATTGATTTACAATTATACCAGCTGTAATAAAGTTTTTATTTATAGAGTGAATTACAACAAATTTTATAAGTAAAACATATCATTTAACACTTCTACCTTGTTTTTCATTTTATAATATTTCGAAAACAACAGTATATATTAGATGATATTTCGGAAAATTATTTCTTGCAATTACAATTATGTAACAATAAGATAGCTGCGCAGCGTGCGACGCCGCGCAGGACGATCAGAAGTGCAAGTAAAATTCAAAATATATATGATAGTGGTACAATGTTGTTGTATTAAACAGGAATAAAATATCAATAGGATGTGTTCAGATCTATATAATTTAATAACCATCTGGTAATATTATGTGATTGAGTAGTTGCATTCAAATATTATCGTGAAATTCTATAACGAGTTTCTGCAAAATCTTCTTCCAAAACTTACTTGACATCTATGTCAGAATTATCGCAATTCTTTCATGAGTTACTATAAATATTCTTGCAAAACTTACTCGCTATTCCAATGGTATATAATAGTTAGAATTATCGTAATTTCTACTGTGAGTTACTGTTAAGTATTCAGTTACAGAATTTACTAATATAGTACAGTTATTAATATTAAGGTTGAATTAGCTTGTATTGAAATGATCATGTTTTTCATCATTAATTGTGGTAAATATCTTGTTGTAAACTTGTATTCTAGTGATCGCATAAAGTGGTCAAAGTTGAGTGATTTCTATTGCCACAGAATTTACTCGCTAATGCGGTTACAGTGTTTAACGTTGTGTTAGCTTGTATTGTAAACATTATGATTCATAACATGGAAAATTATGCAGAACTTACTTGATATCCTAATAATTAGAATATATGGCTAAAATTAAATTGGTTCATATTGGAATTGTCGTGATTTCTGTGATTAAAATCATGTTAGTTCGTATTAAAATTATTATAATTTCTACTGCTAAAAAATTCTATTGCAAAACTTATCTCATTGCAACAAGCAATAAACGGTTAAAATTAAGGTAATATTGTACTTAAAATAGTTGATTTATCTATAATTGAGTTAGTTTGCATCAGAATGCATCAGAATTATCATGATTTTTATTGCAAAAAATTCTGTTAGAGCTTACCATTTCGACAACCTCATTATTTATGTTGTCCCAAAATTATATGCTTGATTAAAAAATTGATTAAGTAATTGATCAAGTAATTGATCGGCTATAGCCCGATAGTTGATAAAGCTTATCGAACCTATCCCTGGTTGCAACATTATAAATAGGGATTTTACAATACCAGATCATTCTGCCAGTTGTGAGGGGCAATATCGACCCTATTAGTTCTATTTTACATTATTGCCCTTGATATTTCCGAATTTATAGTTATAAGTGGTACAAGTTGTAAGAATTCCGGGAATTCACTAGATTCCTAGAATCTAACAGATAACAAGAATAAAAATTATTCTCGTTATAAAAAATATAATTAGAATGGCTTAGATTCGGAGAATTCAATTATATGTAAAGATAATTATATAAGGAGAGCTTTTCTCCCCAATAAAGTATCAGTTAAGTTATACTTCGAAATAATAATAGTAGAAGTTACTTATCTTTTTCCCTTTGTTCCTAATAAATCGTCCATTTAACCTTGTCACTGTCCCAATATTTTTGATAAAACCGCTTATAATGTTGTATAGCCCAAAGTAGAGTTTAACCTTCGTAATCTGAGTAGAAGCGTTAACTCTGAGTTCTTTATTAAATAAACCTTGTCCCGAATTCTTCTTTATCTCTTAGAGAAAATAGAGAACATAAGAAAGAGAAAGTCGTTAAATTAATAGAATCCCTTACTTATATAAAAACAATACTTGAATAACCCCGGTTACCCCATTGTTGAATAAAACCTTCGATTTTCCGTGACCCATTGTTATCACTAATTAGTGTAATAATTAATTTAAATCGATCTTCGTGACGCAAGTATCCCGTGACGTTAATCCGAATTAAGCCTCCGATCTACTGATATTCTTGCTCGTGACGTAAGAATCTTAGATCACCAAACACCGCAGTAGTTATCACACGTGATACACGTGACAATCGTTAAGAACCTTAACGATTGTATTAAAGACTGGAACCCGCCAAAACTTGACTCAAAGGAAAAGTCATACTTAGCTTCCGGCTAAAGTATATTAGTAAGGCGAGACCAATTTAATTCAGTGGTTTACATTACATCCTACTCACAAAAAAAGAGGGGGGAGGGGCTGGAGGGAGTTTATTATAAATTTTTTCTCCAAAATGATCCGTGATATTATAAAAATTTTCCGAAATTTTCCGCGTATATAGTGAGGGGGAAGGCGGGAGAGAGAGAGGGGGGGGGGGTAACGTAAACCACTGAATCAAATTGGTCTCGCCTAACAAACACAAGTATAATTCTACAGTATACTTATCTTAACCGCCAAGTAAGCCGCAGCAAGACCCGAAAAGCTTCGAGATTCGGACCAAGTCTTATCACACCTTCTTTCTACCTACCAAATCGAAGTCTTTAAGGTCTTGGATTGTAAATTGAATAGTTTTAGTATTGTAGCTTTATTATCAGCGTAGTTTTAGCTTTAGACAATTAATATAAATGGTGTAGGATTATAATCATAACATGTACTGGCGGAATGATCTGGTATTGTAAAATAAGTTTTTTATATGTTGCACACTGGGTGAAGGATCAGTCGTGTAACATCGACGGTTCCTCCTGTTGTTTTATGTGCTATCGTATTATCGTATTACTTGTGCTATTGGAACAAGGACCCTTACACTACACTAGTCTACGGAACCATTGGAAATAAGGCGAGACTGGTTTAATCCATTAAACTACAAGCATCCTTCTTAAAAGAGGGAGGTGAGTTTGTAATAAAATATTCTCAAAAAAGAACTTTTCCGAAACAATCCGTAATAATAAAAAAATTTTTGGGATGTTCAACAATCTTATATGTTTATCCTAATTTAGTATTCTATATGCTTATCCTAATTTAATACTATTTATTTGGAGCTAAATATTTATTTACAACAGTAATTTAGAATGCAACTGTGTTGTGATTTGATTGGTCTATAATACGTGAGTTGA